AGCAAATCTCCAATTCATTAAGAGAGCCAGTCGTCCGTTACTGTTTTCTAAGCTGAAAAATAAATAAAATTAAAATTAAAATTTAAAAAAAAATACCAGGGGCTTTCAGTAACAGTAATTTATTGATTTGCAATAAATTTACATTTTTCTATTGACTGCTTTGATCTGCTCAGGACATTGTGCAAAATTCATTCACCCCCGAATTTACACTGGCCCGTCGATGACTAAACATACGGGACATTTTTTTTTTTTTAAATAACCTTTGAAGTCGAAAGGTTTTATGAGTTTCGCGTCGGCAATGGTGGCGTGTGTAGTATTGATGATGTCCAAACAATAGCACAAGTTTTTAGCAGAAGCGATAGAAATTATAAAATGAAGTAACGACAATATTTGCTAAAACTGATTTTGTGAGTAACTATGTAACTTGAAAATAAATGTATATTGTAATAAGATGGATTGAAAGAATGTATCGATAAAATACGCTAACTAAACGAATTTAAATGAAGAAAAAAAAAGGATCTTCTATGTTTATCAAAGCTCTTTCGAGGACTGAAACTATGTGTAGAGTGAATAAAAAACGGAATTATTTAAGAGAATATATAGTCTTTCTCATAAATACTTTCATAGTAATTTTTCTTCGGTATGGTACTTAGATTGTTGGATTTTAAGCACAGTATTAGAATGGCAGCAAGGTCTCATCATTCCAGAGTTGAATTCTCCAGATGTAACCGTAAGGTCTATTCTAACTGTTTCTTTTTACGCACTTCTCACTTGTGGAACTGTCTTCCGGCTTCATGCTATTCAGCCAACTCTGACCTTCAAAAATTTAAATGTAATGTCTATTGTAATCTACTCTCATCTATTTTCTCGCTCTTTAATGTTTTAACCCATTTTGTACTTACTAAGTGGCATATATTGTTTGCGTGATTTTGTCAATGTTTGTGGCTAGCTAAGTTTAATATTAAGAGAGAATATGACCATCCTTTCCCTCTCTCCCTTTTTGAGGCCTTTTGCCGTATTTGTACTTTTGGGCAATAACTATTAACGGTGATATAGACTGTTCTACCGAGGCTGTGACTGTTCGCAGCTCCTGTCGAACTATCTGCCTTCAGCAGAGAGGAACTGGACGAGACGGTGCAGAAGGGCAGGGGTTTCGTCCGGGGATGTAGACACACCCGACCGGTTCTACGGGAATTTTTTGACCGAGCCTACGGGCTCTGATGACCCACGTCATAACAAGGCCGAGTTTAACGTGGGTCATCAAAGAGAGTCGGTAAGGAGAATCGGGTAGATGCTCGAGGCACATACTTCTGCCCTCCCCTTCAAGGACAAATTCCTCCGGATCCACAGCCTAACTGTGTCCTCGGCAATCTCCCGCATCTCCAACCAATTCATTTCTAACAGGAGGTCAAGATCCGTACCAGACGGAGAGTATCTTGACCGGCCCGTCCGTCCAGAGGAAAGATCCGGGAAGAGAGACACCCTTCCACGAACCCAACCGCAAGCCAAAAGACTTATCGCGGTTGATCTTGGTCCCTGTTACAGTCTCATCATGTCTGATTTCTCTGTTCAACACAAGAGCCAAAACGTCATCAGCATCGGCGGAGTACGTGGCCGAATTGGTAGCACCAGGTAAAGAAATTCCGCGAAGGACCGGATTCGTTTTCAACTTACGCAGGAAAGGTTCCAACACAAGAACGTAAAACAATGGAGACAGCGGACAACCTTGACGAATGGAGCGAGACAAAATGAAACCATACCCCATTCACTTCCACCAGCACACCGAACTATGCAGACAGCAGTCGGATCCAGGTTCGAAATTTCGGCCCGAAGCCTCCAGAAATCGATGGTCAACCCTATCAAAAGCCTCGGACTGATGTAAATTCTTCAGCGCGGCATTACTGTCAACTTTCTTAATGATTAAGTGTACCAAATGAAGGTTGTCCTGAATAGCCCGGCCCTTTACAGCACAAGTCTGCTCGGGACCAATCAGACTAGAGAGGACAGCCTGCAAACGGCTGGCTAAGAACTTGGCTAAAATCTTCAACTCTACGTCAAAGGCCGATAATTATCTACCCCATCCCCACCTTTTTTTGTTCTTGCGAAGCAACTTGATCACACCCCTGGTGAAGTGTTGATATAGACCCCTGCTTCATCCAGTTGTTGAAAATCAGTGCCAGCAAGGGGACAAAGATGGATGAGTGCCTCAAGTATATTTCGTAAGGAAAACCATCTAATCCCGGAGTCTTGTCCAGGCCAACCTACATCGACGCATCCCAGATCTCAGACTCTGTAATGGCACCCTCGCACATGGCCGCTTCAGCGGCCTCGAGGCGGGGAATATCGGCTAAATAGACGTCAAACTGAGCAGGGCTCCCTGGTAAACAGCTCCTGAAAGTAGTCGCGAAATACCTCACAAATGCCCGAGTCTGTAGTCACAGTCCGCTTGTCCGGCAATGTGATGCTCGCCATATGCCAACTAGATGCCCTACGAGATTCCTCTGCACGCAGAGAAGCGGCCATGTTCGTACCCTCGCAAGACATTCTTTTTATCCTAGCCCTAACTACTAGAGCTTGATCCTTCTTGATAAGCAAAGAGACCAGATCCGCTTTAGTCTACGTCCCCACTATCACGGGATTTGATCGCCCGATCTACTTTTTCCTCATAAGACTTTTGCGCTGCTAATCCAACTAGATTGAGTCGTCAACTAAAATCAGCAGCAAAAGACCTAAGTTTTGATTTAAGATAATCCCACCAATTATTCCAAACCACAGCCCCCGACAATTCCCGCTGTAGCATTAATAGAAGCTGATCTCGGAAATCTTGCTCACCAAATAATGATGCATTCGATTTCCAATAACCAGTTATCCTAACCTTAGGCTTATCTAAGTTTACCCGAACCCGGACAAGCCTATGAACGGAGTAAACTATATAATGGAAATTAAGAGATTCTAAGAGCCCTACTTCGACTCTCTTAACTAGAACTCGGTCGATGTAGTTTGCGCTCACCACCGAATCCTAGCTGCCGCCCCTAGTCCACACTATCTCCTGGGGGTGCTCATTTCGATACTTATCGACAAGATGAAACCCATCGATGAAATCCCGAAACGGCTTAACATCCGAGTTGTTAGTACCTGCTTTTGCCCTATTCGATCTATATCGGGATCCAGAACGGCATTCTAATCACCCGCTAGAACTACAGATATCGGCAAAAACGGCGCAATCTACCGAAATAAAACAGGCCGCTACGGATGATCATTGGGCGCATAACCACCAATCAGACGAAGATGGTAACATTATGGTAACATCCAGCACGCAAAGCCTTCCCGCCGGATAGGCGAAAACAAGAGCACACGCTGCATACATAGACTTGCTCACTAACTAGGAAATACCCTTCGAGCGTCCATCAAAACATGTTGAGGATGAACCTCTTAGACAGAATATCGTCATGGTTGGAGATAAAAATGGGTCTCCTGTACACAACATACATCCACCCCGAGGCGCGGAAGATCGCAATCGAGTCTCGCCCTTCGTGACTCTGACCTCAGAACCCGGACATTCAGGCTTGCCAACCAGAGAGCCACTATCAGACCGATTTAGGATTGGGACACTGGTTTAAACATGGTCGGGGTAAGAATACCGCTAGCCTCTCCCATTGAGCCTTGGCCCATCTCAGACTTGATGGTACCGACTTCGGAGAGACCGCCTATATCCCAGGGGAAAGTCAATTTTAATGATCTATAGAGGGAAGGGTGAACTAAAACTGGGACTCTTCCGGCACAAAATTGTTTCTTTATTTTTAAACTATGGCGATAGGGGGTGACATTTTAAAAGAGGCGATGGCTTCGTCGATCATCGCCCATGCTTGCCGTTCCCCCGCCACAGTTCTGGTTATCGTTATCCTCAGCAAAAATAGATATTTAAGATTTTTTTAAATTTGTCTTGTTAATTTTAAAGCGTAGCCAATTACATTACACTGAAAAGGAATTCAGGGAGTAGAACGGGTGTATTGTATCAATTTAAGGTACCCCCTAATTGACGCTAAGAAGAATGTAGACTAACCGAGTCATTTAGAAGTAAATCAGATTACGGCATATCAACCTCAATCGTTTATTTAATGCTGACAAGATTTTTATTGCTGGTAATATTTTCTTTCTATCTATCTATCTATCTATCTATCTATCTATCTATCTATCTATCTATCTATCTCAATATATATATATATATATATATATATATATATTGGTTTGTTTTTTTTGTTTTTGTTTTACGGCATATCAACCTCAATAGTTTATTTAATGCTGACAAGATTTTTATTGCTGGTAATATTTTCTATCTATCTATCTATCTATCTGTCTATCTATCTATCTATCTATCTCAATATACAAATACATGAATTATTCACACAAAACTAATGCAAAGGTTAATGATTTAAATGGCGAGACATCCATTATCGCAAACAATTCAAATAATATACAAAAACCTCCGTATCCGTTATGAATGAAATGATCCTTGTTTATATAAATTTTTGCCGTATTAGTTCTTATTTTTACTACAAGCTTTCGTCTGTTCCTACAGACATCTTCAGGTATAGAATAGATGTTGTTCTTATTTTTTCTCTTAGTAATAAGAGGACAACGAAAATATATGTATTGTTGTATCCGAAAATGCTATTGAAAATGAGTTACTGTTTTTGGAGCGCGCTAAAGCAACACTGAGTTTGATTTTAAATTTTTTAGAAAGGTTGTGCGTTCATATATGGTGATGAACGAATTTTTACTGGTAAATTTTTTCTGTCAAAGTGGCATGAACTATATTGTTCAATAATTACAGTAATGTCGCACTTATTATCCAAAAGTCGCACTTGGATCAGTTATTTAAATTACGATAAACGTGCAATCAATTTACAAATACATGAATTATTCACACAAAAATAGATATATATATATTGTTTTTTTTTTTTTTGTTTTACGGCATATCAACCTCAATGGTTTATTTAATGCTGACAAGATTTTTATTGCTGGTAATATTTTCTATCTATCTATCTATCTATCTATCTATCTATCTATCTATCTATCTATCTAAGTATACATTGGTTTGGTTTGTTTTCTTTTACGGCATATGTGCTGTTTCTTATTTTATTTTCCACACACACACATACACACAATAAAAATTAATTCACACCACGTGTATTAAAAAAATACAATTGCGCGAGAATTCATTCCTTACCATGCCCTGTGGGGTCAAAAACAAGGACGGCGCACCCAAAAGTAGTGAAAAGCACACCACGTTGTCAAAAATATGATTTATTGACCAATCAGGACTCGACATAAGAAACCCATTTCTTAATCTCCCCGGAGCCTCATCATTCTTATATAAGGAAGGTAGAAACTCTCATCAGAACGGAGAGAAAACAGCGACAAGCTGACATCAAAGCGACACGGACAGTTTCGAGCACACACACACACCGAGAGGATTCAGCGGTTCACACAACAGGCAGTATCACGTATCAGTGAACATTCTTTCACCCTCTCTTTTCTCTCATCTCGCTCGCTACACATAGTCCTACCTTTCCCTCTCACATTCCCAGTTCCTTTCTTTCTCTTTTTCTTCCGCAGCTTTACGGACAATTTCATTTTTGTACAAGGAAAAAAATAATTCTTTACAAAAATAAACAAAAGTTTATTTTACTTTATTTGTAGTGTATTATTAGTATTTTTATTATTTGTTTGAGGGACTTCTTTGCACCCTCTACACATATCAACCTCAATGCGTTGATATGCCGAGTCATTTAGAAGTAAATCAGATTACAGTGGTGTACAAACGCACTGACTATTATCATCATAATATTCAATCGAAGAATGACCTATGAATCGCTTCATCAATGGAGGCAATGGAATCAGTAGTCTGCTTCAGATCAGTAAAGTCCGGTATCTTTGTTTGATACACGATCCCTTTAACATAGCCCCATAGAAACAAGTCCAGGGGAGTGATATCTGGTGAACAACTTGGTCAAGCCATTGGGTGATCCATTCTAATCCACGGGTCTGGAAATGTTAGAGGTTCATTTAAAATTACCTCTTTCATCAACAGGCCACCTGAAATAGACAAATTGAATGTGATTAAAAACTTTGATAAATCTGATTAAAATGTCTCATCAATTGCCTTTGTAATATGTTTTTTAAATAGTAAAGAAACTTTATGGACAACCTGTATATGCTTCATTGTTGGCTCATAATTTATGGAAGTGGTTTAACATCTATAGATATACCCGATAAAAGTTAATTTTATTGGCCGAAACAGTGGAATTTGTATTTGCCCTGAAAACGCATGAGGTGTATTTAATATTCAATCGAAGAATTTTTCTAATCATCTCACCCTAACAATGTCACTTGAAGGTAGGGGATTACATGTAGTTTGGTTTGGTTTGTTTTACGGCATATCAAACTCAATGGTTTATTTAATGCTGACAAGATTTTTATTGCTGGTAATATTTTTATCTATCTATCTATCTATCTATCTATCTATCTATCTATATATATATATATATATATATATATATATATATATATATATATTGGTTTGGTGTTTTTTGTTTTACCGCATATCGACCTCAATCGTTTATTTAATGCTGACAAGATTTCTATTGCTCGTAATACTTTCTATCTATCTATCTATCTATCTATCTATCTATCTATCTATCTATCTATCTCAATATATATTGGTTTGGTTTGTTTTGTTTTACGCATATCAATCTCAATGGGTTATTTAATGCCGACTAGATTTTTATTGCTGCTTATATTTTCTATCTATCTATCTAGCTAGCTATCTCAATATATATTGGTTTGGTTTGGTTTGTTTTACGGTATATCAACACCTCAATGGGTTATTTAATGCTGACAAAATTTTTATTGCTGGTAATATTTTCTATCTATCTATCTATCTATCTATCTATCTATCTATCTATCTATCTCCGTATATATTGGTTTGGTTTCTTTTCTTTTGCGGCATATCAACCTCAATGGGTTATTTAATGCCGACGGTATTTTTATTGCTGAATTTTTTTCCAAAATCTATTGTTGGTAATATTTTTTTCAAATATGTATTGCTAGTAATAATGTATTGCTGGTAATATTTTTTTCCTTCAAAATTCATTACTGGTAACATTTTTTTTTTTTACAAAAAATGTATTGCTGGTATTAACACCTATTTTTACACATTCATTGTGTTTTGACCCCAGTTTGGGGATTAGCAGGGACCCTAAAAGGTGCTACCACCCCGAGTCAGGATGGACCTGGAAACACCAGCAATTAAGAGGTGGTTCGATGCTCCTCAAAACCTCCAGGTCAGAGGCCTTTCTATCGGTTGTAGTTTATCGTCGTCCTGAAGACACAGACGTAGTTCATCCTCTTACCCAGGAGGACTCATTTCGGGTTGGGGGTGGATGTGGGGGTCTTACCAGTCTCATCAATTGCCTTTGTAATATTTTTTTTTTAAATTGAAAAGAAACTTTTTGGAAAACCTGTATATGCGAAGTGATTGGCAGCTTCATTGTTGACTCATAATTTATGGAAGTGGTTTAATATCTATAGATACACGCGGTAAAACTTAATTCTCTTGGCCGAGACAGTGTGATCTTAAATAAGCTTTGTATTTGCGCTGAAGACGCCCGAGGTGAAGAGATGTATTTATCAAAGGTTGCCAAATAATGTTGCATTGTAAGCTAGTGCACTGAAACAACCGCAAAGATGAAAACAAAGTGTGATCATAATCATTGATTTTTATCAAATTCTGCTGGAAAATAGCCGACAGTCGGATTCACGTGGGAAAACTTCTTTATGATTTAGACCAATTAGACGACAGAAATACCAAAACGAGAAGGGACTTCCAAAATTGAAACAACAAGTTAATAACTGCGAAGAATAACTGTATTTCAAAATGGCGGTCATGAATTTAACGGGTCGAAGTTGGAAATTAATTTTAAAAATAACTGATTTTTTTTCCATGAAAATTTCGTTATGTCAATAACTAGTTATTTATCTTATGAAAAAACAAACATAGTTTATCTCTACTTGGTTGATAAAATCCCTGATAGAGAAGATGAGTTCATTTATCTACTACTGGGTCAACCCAATTTTAGTTGCCTAATGGATTTCAGGCGCCAAATGTGAGAGGTCTGAAGACGCGTTGTAGCCTGCTCCAACGGGAACAGGCGATGCTGGCCACGAGCAAACCTGAACAATGTATCGTAGGCAGACATGGGAAAAAGAGATATGATCAACTTCAGATAAGTCATTTGATTAATTAAAAAAAAAAAGATACATGTATTTGGACTTCATTCTCGATACCAAGACAATAACACCTAAAGAAATATATTAAGCATTTCTCTCTTCTCATTCTCGTATAATGTATTACTTATTGTTGAAACTTGACTAATGCATGGAATAATAATGCAACACAAAATGTACTTAGAACAAAATGTATTGAAACAAGAAAGTGTATACAATATTTACATATAGTCTTTTGCATATTCCCGATAAAACCGTTCCTGGAGAATGTGTTGACTGAGTCGCAGTCGGGCAGAGTCTCTGGTTGAATCTGTTGATTCCTCCTTTCTCTTCCCGGTACCAACCATATTTATATGGTCGGTACTCCACTATACAAATTAGGTGGATCCTACCACAACACTTATATAAAATATATGCTTCTTAAACTGTTCATTTATCTCGCCCATTGTTCCTCTGTTAGGACACACACGGGGAGTCGCTAATTTTCTCATAATCTATCCTACGTTCTGATAACTCTAATAAAAGAGTCAAAGGGTGTACTCGGGGTATCACACTTGTGCACTAATTGCCTGTGGGTTCAACACTCACTACCTAATCTACCTATCGTTCGGTTCACGCACGTCACCGGTCTTTTGAACAGAAGTCGAGGTTTATTTCTTGTTTCCTGTTTAGGATTGGGACTTCCGGTTATGGAACTATGTTGTAAAAGACGCTATGGAAGTTGGTGGGATAGGGTAGCAGAGGTAAGACCAATGTAGGTACTGGGGGTTCTTGAGATTTAACGCACAAAGAGTAAAGAAAATATCTGCCCCCTGATGAGGATCACCGATGCTCGAAAGGTTTTGGAAACCGATTTCAAGTTTATTCGTCCACCAGTTGGACCATGATTCACGAACGGGGGAACGACTAATGGAAATAATCGTACTATCAAATACATATTTTCGTGGTATTAAAGCACACACTAACACACACACACACACACACACACACACACACACATATATATATATATATATATATATATATATTAGACATTCTTATGTTTATACATTCTTTTTTATAGATACAAATATTTAAGTAAATGTTCTGTTTATAATAAACAGTATTAACAACATTTACCGGCCTGAATGTCTGAGAAATTGTCCTAGAAAATATGCGTCCTCCGATAGGATTCGAACCTGTATCCTATACGAAGCCGTCATATATTTTACCGATTTCGCCACAGAGGAGAATTTCGGTTAGCTAGGTTGATTTTACTCTTTTTAAACTACAATTTTTCCATGATTTTCTCACGTACATTCATATCTGCTCGATGCGTATCCAAATGTAAACAAATGACGTCATACATTATGAAATGGACAAAGTCCGACAATTATTTTAAGACATTTTTATGTTTATACATTCTTTTTTTATACATACAAATATTTAAGTAAATGCTCCGTTATAATAAGCAGCATTAACAAATTTACCGGCCTGAATGTCTGAGAAATTGTCACAGAAAATATGCGTCCTCCGACAAGTAAAATCCGTAAAAGCACGTTAAGCTATATCACGGTTCCGTATAGGATACAGGTTCGATTCCTATCGGCGGATGCATATTTTCTGTGACAATTTCTCGGACATTAAGGCCGGTAAATATTGTTAATACTGTTTATTATAAGAAAGTATAAACATAAAAATGTCTTAAAATAATTGTCGGACTTTGTCCATTTCATTATATATATATATATATATATATATATATATTCTCGAAATGTAAATATCTGCTATGTTTTTTTTTAATCCTAAAGCACTATTCGGGCTTTGTTTGATCAGGAGGTCCTACGTGAATATGAAAATATTTTGATTCCGTGAAGATTTTAAAATATTTTCATAATAAAAATCTTAGGCGGATTTATGATGCAGGCATAATATCTATCTCACGCACGGTGAATACTAGATCTGGCTTCTTTAGTATTTCCCCTTTTCTAGCGAGATTAATGCTCGACAAGCGTACATATAATTTTTAGATCAAAATAGAATTCTTTTCATTTTTTATTCAAAATACTCAAATTTTAGGAATACGTTTTCACAGCGTCGCCCACGTGACGACAACGTGACCATGTTTTAAATGGAGCGCTGATCTTATAAAACTTTCAGTTATCTGTTTGGATAAGTCTTGTTCTTATATATTAAGAAATGGACTTAATATATGACGTCATTTGTTTACATTTGATACGCCAGTGCAGTTATGAATGTACGAGATTCATGGAAGATTGAAGTTTATAAGCAGTAAATTCGAATTTGCCTACCGAACGCTCCTTTGTGGCCGAGTCGGTTAAGGCACGTCAGCGTAAATGGCGGTTCCGTATAAGATGCAGGTTCGAATCCTGTCAAAGGACGAGTATTTTCTATGAAAATTTCTCGGACATTCAGGCTGGTAAATGTTATTTAATACTGTTTATTATAAACAGAGCATTTACTTAAATACTTTTATCTATAAAAAAGAACGTTAAACATAAAAATGTCTTGTTCTTATGTACATCGTCTTTGTCATGTTGAATTATATTTTATGAATATGTTCTGAAGATGGTTTATTAGACCGAAACGTCCGACGTTGACATATTAACATTAAAACAGCATAATTGTATATAAGGATTTTTGTTTGTTTTTTCCGTATATTTTTCTTCATATATATATATATATATATATATATATATATATATATATATATAATTTAGCTCTTGAAAATATATTTCAATTAAGCACTGTTGAGTGATAGGCTGATTCTATACATAAAAAAATGAGTTAATGCAAAGCTCTTCAGTAAAAATGAATTGGAGCATTCCGGCGTTTGGCGTTTGTTTACATTCGTAAAAAAAAAAAAATACGCTAGTTTCTCTCTGTCGAATGAAGATAGCTCAGTGGTAGAAACACTTACTGACACGAAATCGGTTGGGTTTTGATTCGGGTTTGAGGCATTCAGATGCCTAGTCGCACTGAGGAGCTGTGATACATTGAAACAGTACTGTCTGAGACATATATATATATATATATATATATATATATATATATATATATATATATATATATATATATTATCTAAAGGATCAATCACTAATATTCTATAGTTATAATTTATTACAATGGAATGGTAATCACGATCCAGTTTATCAGACCTACAAATTCAAATTATCTTCTTGCTCCGTACTGTATATTGAGTTCTATCTGATTTTATCCCCGTCGAAATATATATATTTCTCTCTTTCTCCTCTCTCTCTCTCTCTCTATATATATATATATATATATATATATATATATATATATAGCCCGTACATCATGGGTTTCAGGAACTGCATGTCAAAAAATTTTGAATTTGTAGGGCATATTGCAGGCCATTCCAGAGTAGTTATATTTGCTTCACACATCCAATTTTTCACTGATTTGGCCACAGGTATGCTGCAGTTATCTTGCTGCAAAATAAAATTACTTCCCATTTCTTTTTCTATGAATGGTAGGGCTCTATTTTCCAAAAGTTCTCTGTAGCTCAAGCTATTTTGACGTCCTTTTAACCACAAGTTTCCATTCGGAAATACCATACCCCAAAGGATGACTCCTCCTCCTCCCATCTGTCTTTTGTTGAGAATAATAGGTTCACCTTTTCTCGACCATTTACACCACCCGTCAGGTCCATCGAACTTAAAACGTTTTTCATCAGTAAATATCACTTTCTTGAAGTCGACATGATTTGTTATCCACCTTTTGACGCTTCCCAGCCTTACCTCCTCATGTTTTCTCGTTAGTGTAATTCTTTTCTTGATTTTAGCATAGTTAAGTCCAATTTCGTGCAGCTTTCTTTGTACAGTTCGAACACTGACGTCAAGTTCACACTTCTTTACTTTCTTCGCTGTCACCTTTTCTCCAGATGATTACAACCTCGTAACACTCCTCTTCATTCTTCTTTCTGTTCTCTTGGAAATTGTTTTTTTCCGTCTTTTCTTCTTCTTCTTCTTCTGCTCATAGTCTGTACCTAGCATGTATTCAACTGTTGACTTTGGTAGCTTCATCTCAGCGGCGATCTTTCGGATGCTGAGCCCGTCTTCTCTCTTCTTTGAAACCAAACTGATGACTTATTTTGAATGCATTCTTCTTCAGGATTTTAATACGTTTTCGCAGTGAATGGTAAAGATACTCAAATGTAACGGCCAGGGTACAATTTACCTGCAGAAAATTTGCATATTGTAGACGTTCGACGAATAAATCATTAAAAAACCCGGAATTTGTGTCATGTCCGAAAAATAGTGTCGCCTAATTTGAAGTAAAAATAAAGAAAACATGAAACCAAAGACAAACCTATCAATCAATGTTCATAACATTAATGGACAGTTATTGCTGAATTAACTACTCATCAACACAAAAGCTCTCGGCAGCAAAAAACACATTTAAGCACACTTTTCAAAGTGTCTCAAAAATAGTGTCGGCCCCCTGTAGCAAGACAGACCGTGTTCTTAGCCTTGGATAGCAACTGGTCTACCGCAGAAAAAAATGGCAACCTACTGCGGGAAAAAACCCGCGTTGTCAGTCATGTATCGAAACATACATGATCGCCTAAGTGTGTATCACGCATGGCACACAACTGAATGACTGATGGAGAAGACAATAAATCCTCACAGCCTAAATCATCAACTTCATATGACCATGAGTATTGTCCAATGTCCGTCTTTGATTCACACCTCAAGTCAAAATGACCTAAACACCTTAGAGATTTGGAACTTCCTAAGAGTAAAAAACTGTTAGGTTCCAGGTAACAGGTATAAAATTTATTACCTGGCGATGTACGGATTTCCGAGATCATCACAAGGTTATTTTCCCAATCTTAATTTTGGATTGTGATTTGGTGTACTGCAATGATATCAGTGGTTTTATGCAATCACTTAACATCAGTTACAATCCAGAGCAATAAAGTCTGTTTATTAATTCCTCGTAAAAAAAGTCTCAAAGCTTTCTTGTTACACAATGGTAATCTGTTATCTTCGATCCCAGTTAGTCATGCAGTCCACATGAAATAAACTTATGATAATAATAAAACTATTGAGATACATCGACTATGGTCAACATAACGGACTGTTTTGCCAAGATTTGAAGGTTGTTGGTAATTTACTACGACGATAAGGTGGATATGCCAAGTAATTCTCTTGGTTGGGAATGGAACAGCCGAGACAAAAGAGAAACTGATCAGTGCGTCTATTACTGGAACCTGCGAGGAAAAAATGGTCAGCATCCACAACTAGTTAAATCAAAGAAAAAATCTTTTGCCCCCTCTTCATTTCAAGTCAATTGATAAAAAGGCAGCATTGAAGTAATGTGCAAAATAAATTTCCTAGTATAAGTGAAGCAAAGGGAAAGGAAGACACCTTTAGATATTGTTTTGTTGATTCACATGCATCTAACTACTGGCCTATTCTATTAATGTTGTTAAAGAGTATCCATTTCTCATCGCATGTAAAGATTCGATGCAAAAATGGTTCTTTTTGCCAGTTTTCACTCATACAGTAAGATTATTTGACATTGTTTCATAGTAATCATTTTTGTTGAGCTTATGAGTAACAATATATTATAAGAACATTTATCAGGAAAGAAAAAGTCAGGGGTAAGAGATCTTTATACACCAAGGTTACATTTTTTTTTATATATACCAAGGTTAGACGACCGGATCAAAAAATGCGTCATTTCATGTGTGAGAATCTAATATATATATATATATATATATATATATATATAGATAGATAGATAGATAGATAGATATAGATATACATATGCGTACATTGTCCTCATCTTTGCCGCCATCATATTGTCCTCATATTGTCCTCATCTTTGCCGCCATATTTGTCACAACGTTTCGGCCGTTGTACGCTCCGGCCTTCTTCAGGTGGTTGGAATTTCGAACTGAACACTTTATTTCGATCACTGGGGTAGACTGTTCTAGTTCCACGTGCCATGTTTGATGGATGTCAGTTATCAGTTATCTCCTGCTAATTTTCCCTCTGAAAGTTCTCCACTGCCTTATCCAGGAATTGAACTCACCTTCTTTGGGACTGTCACTGCATCTAACCAACGCCTTTATCCACTGTGTCATGTGTCCTTGCGTGTATGTATAATTTTTCATTAAAAACGACTGACAAAGTACTCCGAATAATGTTACTTTTCTTATCGTTATACTGATGATCCTTTAGGTAAAAACTCGGTAGGTAGGTTCTGGCTCCTTAGGTGTTATATATATATATATATATATATATATATATATATATATATATTCATTCCGGAACATAAACTAAGCAGAAATTATCCGAGTATTCTGTATGTTCGTGTGTTTTCGGCTATACATTTAGCCATTATCAAGGATGATTTTTTATTGGAACTGAATGAATGGGTTGTTTTATTTATGTATTTAGAGTTATAGGATTTTTTTAAAACACGGTCAGCACATTTTGGCTGTGTTCAATGTTGGCTTTTTCTTTTTTATTAATATTACTTCCTATCTTTTTAGCCCTTTTTACGTGTGGATCATATTTGTATTATGTAACATTCTTATCAATAAACTTATTTTCATTATCAAAAAACATTGTCAGTCGTTTTTAATGAAACTTATACATACACACACACACACACACACACACACACACATATATATATATATATATATATATATATATATATATATATATATATATATAAAGGGAGTGAGTGAAGGAAAGAAAGAAAGTGACAGAAGCATAGGGATAGTCAAAAGAGATTAAATAAATGCAATGAAAGACTGCGACAGATAGATGGATAGATAATGAACAGACTGTGATCGATAGATAATGAACAGACTGTGACAGATAGATAGATAGATAATTAACAGACAGTGATCGGTAGATTATGAACAGACTGTGACAAATCCATAGATAGATATATAGATATATAGATAATGAACAGACTGTGATCGATAGATAAGAAACTGGCAGTGACAGATAGATAGATAGATAGATAGATAGATAGATAGATAGATAGATAGATAGATAATGAACAGACTGTGCTAGATAGATAGATAGATAGATAGATAGATAGATAGATAGATCGGTAGATAGATAGATAGATAGATAGATAGATAGATAGATAGATAGATAGATACTTGAGGCAATTCAAAATAAGTTTCAATTCTATACCATTATATTTTCTAAATCGAGGTTGTGATTAATTTCTTTTTGATGGAAATGCTCATTTAATTAAGATTTTATTTGTGCTTCGCCATGAAGATTTCAAATCATGTGAATCAATAACTTTAATTAATTGCTTATAATATCGAATCGAGAGTCAATAAATTCGAATTGTAAATTGTCTCTCGTTCGCTTCTGTACCAAATGCGACTCTGTTTCCTTGTGTGGCCGATTCTTTATCTACGCCGCAAAGCGAGTTCAGATGAATATGAGACTCGTTATGGAACGACTATTGTATGCCTAAAACAATCACTATATTTCGATCGATAGTATCGATTTAAGATAAACATTATTAATGAGGCCAGCCTCATATAGCGATTGATTATTGATTAATCAAGAAGCGCACCTCATTCCAAAAAATTTGGAGCCAGGATAAACGAATTAGTATTTATGGCGGAAATGAAAACTTATGACTATTTAGACTGTGACGCAGGATGAATGTCGTGGATTTTAGAAGTACGACACACGAAAAGATATTCATTTTTTTTTTGTTTTAGATTCTTGAAGTTTATAACATCTCAATTTCATAGCCCAAACGTAAAAACAAGTATGTGCTTAAAAGGCATATTCAAATTGTTTTACCGACGTGGCTGAGTTGGTTGAAAGCATGTCGGATGTAACGACAGTTTCTCCTGAAAACGGTATTACTGGTTGGAATCCTTCATAGAGCGTATTTTTTATAGAATTTCTCCAATATTCAGGCCGGTAGGTATATATATATATATATATATATATATATATATATATTTTATTAAAAGACATTTTATGTTTAACGTTGTTATTTTATAGATACAAGTATTTAAGCAAAGGCTCTGAATGATAAACAGTATTAAATAAATTTACTTCCATGAATCATAAATTTTAATAGAAAATATTCGTTCTTTGACGAATTCGAACCTTCTTGTAGCGTCATATACGCTGAGCCTTACCTCTAGGCTACAAAGTACGTTCAGTAGACGTATATGACGGTTCCGTATAGGATGCAGGTTCGAATCCTGTCAAAGGACGAATATTTTCTATGAAATTTTTTTCGGACATTCAGGCCGGTAAATGTTATTTAATACTGTTTATCATAAACAGAGCATTTGCTTAAATACTTGTATCTATAAAATAACAACGTTAAACATAAAAATGTCTTTAATAAATAAATTGTCGGACCTTGTCCATTTCTTAATATATATATATATATATATATATATATATATATACCGGAAGTCAAATGGATATTATTAAAGAAAAGGAGAAAAATCAAAATAGAGACAATATATATATATATATATAAAAAAACAAAAAACGGCGCATTCTATACATACACACAGACTGGCACATGCGCACAATTCAGTGTACACAGCCACACACAAAAATTGCACTAATGAAAGTGCACATAAAAAAGAAAAAAAATACCCCTGACGAGTTAACGGAGTGATTCCTGGAGGGTCCGTCTACGGAAATCTTTTACTTGCATTAATTCTCTCTCTCTCTCTCTTTCTTTCTTTTTCTGTATATATATATATATATATATATATTTATCGTGTTTAAAAAATAATCGGGGTGTCTACTCTTATATGGGGATCCACAAGATATAACGTTTATAGTGATAAAAATACGTCTCAATAATAGTTAAAAATCCATTATTATCTTTAGAAATTGCTTTGTTTACGTTTCGAATA